GACCCAAAAAATAACAACACTTTGTCAGGACCATGAGGCGATCATTCCTACCAACTTTCAGTTCAATCGGTCCAGCAGAACTTGACTTTAAGTTTGAAATGTAAAATGTTAACGGACGACGACGGACAAAAACGGATAGCAATAGGTCACTTGAGCTAAAGCTCAGGTGACCTAAAAACTAGCTATTATATATTACTGTGGCTGTCCCTTGGTCTGGAAATGACAGCCCCATGCACAATTTGATTTCACAACGGAGCCTTTTCCTGAAGGTAAAGTAATAATTTGCTTCAAATTACTTTGGGTTTTCTCAGAGTGCCAACGTATTTACCAAAAATAGGCAGGTGGCCATCGAGTTGAATAAAGTTTGCTTTGCCTGATCATCTATGTGCTGATTCAACAGCACTGTTTGCATAGATGACCAGGCAAAGCAAATGAATATCTGTCTTGGTTCCATTTACCAATAGGTATTCATTAGACAGATGTCGGTAGCTGCCTGCCTTATCAATATACAATGTATATTCAAACCCTAGTTCAAACAATTAATGTTTTATGAATAATAACCAATTTTGTTTGGGATTTTCTCTCCAATTTTCTTTGTCAATAAAAAATGTATATGCTTCTTTTAGAATACAATTTTCACAATTCAACATTACTTAAACCAATATTTAAACATTCTAAGCATCTGATTATTTGTCAGAGGAAGATAAGCTCAAAACATACCATTGCATTGCACGTACATTTTTTAACACAGTATATTTTTACTAATTCCAAATGAACTCTTTCTATTTCAACTCCTTTCAAAGCTGTAGCTAAGTATCTTTCTGCTTCTGTACCAATTTGGAGGGATTTCATCTGGGTGCCAAGGGGCTGCAGGCCCAATAGGGGAATTTGAGGTAAATCTTTAAAATCCTTCTCTTTCTGTACCATTGGAGGAACTTTATCCAAATTTGGTCCATATAGCATCCTTTGGTAAGGGGGACCCAATTCAAAGGGAGAATGAGGCCACCTCTGGGGGCAGAGGGCAAGGTCCTTTTGGGGGAACATATTAATAAATTATTAAAATCCTTCTCCTTTAGTAATTGCAGATTCGAGGGCTTTTAAACAAATTTTCTGTAGAGCATCCTTTGGCAAAGGGGACTAAATTTTGTTTAAACGGAGAGTGTGGCCCCTTTGCTGCAGAGGGGTGGGCCCCAATAGGTAAAGTTTTAAAATTATTCTCCTTCAGTATAATTGAAGTTATTTTAACAAAATTTGGTCCAGAGCATCATTTGGCAGTTAAGGGGGACTAGATTTGTTTTAACAGAGAGTGTGGTCCCCCCGGGAGCAAAGGGGGAAGGGTCCAGTAGGGGGAACATAGTAATACATGTTTAAAATCCTTTTCCTCCAATTTATTTGGAGAGATTTTAACCAAATTTGTGCAAAGCATCCTTGGGCAAAGGGGACTCAATTTTGTATAAATAGAGGGTTGCTTGAATGGGCAGAGGAGCAGGCAAAATAGGGGAAATTGAGATTAATGTTTTAAATCCACCCAGGGATTAATGCATGAATAGAAAATTGGTACCCTTTTTTGAAATAGGGGAAAATATGCATTGTAGGTGCATTACCTGTCCAACAAGGGCTGCAGGCCAGAGCCAGGGGGAGAGTATGAGATGGGGGTATGGATTACATCTTCAGTTTTGTTTCCTGCTGTTCATTATACTGATTATAAAATATCAGCACAACAATTAATATCAACACAGGGAATTATAACACAGCTGTAATAAGCTAGTGAGCTTATGTCATGGCGCTGCATCAATCGTCCATCGTCGCCATCCTTCAACTTTTCCTTTAAACAGAAACATATATACATATAAAGCCAGAGATTGGCAATTTGCGCAGATCTCGGAAATGCGCGCATGAGCCTATTGTTCCTCGGAGCTCCATCGCAAGACTTGGTTTGCTGCCCCGCATATAGGCGGTATCAGCTTTTCTAAGCATTTTATTGGTAATTATTTTTTTATAATTGCAAAAAGTATCAGAGAGAATTTTTACTTAGAGATCGCAACAATTAATGATATGATAATAGAAGTCCATCTGAAACGCATATCCTGATAAGTACTAAGAATAAGGACGTCTATAATTAGTGTGTTTACATGTTATTGTTACCTGTGAGAGTGCAGGTACAGATGTAGGAATTTGACAGGGTGTTTCAATATGTCGTGATCTTCGAACCTTAATTTTCCCTAGAATGTTTAGCATTACATTGGTTCTCGAAAGTGTGTGCACAAATTCAGAAAAGTAACTTCAGTAACATTTAGATTTTTTATTTAGTCGGACAACTACATGTGGAAAAAATAATGTACATTACATGTAACAGGGTCAACTTACACTTTTACTAATGGGCAAAGCCTCAGATAAGAAATCTACTATAGGAGATTCGTCTTTATTCTGGCTTATGCTTATTCGAGAAATTAACAACAACAATTTTCCTGGGTTAATTTCAATGTATATGTCTCCTGTCGTTGGCCACGTGGCTTCTATCAGAGCATAACAAATGAGGCAGATATCCAACGTGGATCGTGAAAATCAAATCAACGATTAGGCCTACTCAGCAATCGATAGTTTTTTTGTTTTGTTATTAACGAGTCTAGATCACTCTGATTTTATCAAGTATCATATTGAATTTCAAAATATACATTTATTACGTCAAAATGACGAGTTCATATCATCTGATGTAACAGAAATAACCATGCCTATGTGGTGTAAGAACTTATATTACTGGAAAAGGTGTACGAACTTACATGGTACTGTACCGACCGGTCCTCCTTAAAAGCGTCTTCAACCGACAACAAGCGTCTTCAACCGACAACAAGCGTCTTCAACCGACAACAAGCGTCTTCAACCGACAACAAGCGTCTTCAACCGACAACAAGCGTCTTCAACCGACAACAAGCGTCTTCAACCGACAACAAGCGTCTTCAACCGACAACAAGCGTCTTCAACCGACAACAAGCGCCTTCAAGTGACAACAAGCGTCGCCAGACAAAATCTTTTAAAATAATGAATAAAGAAAGCGACATCAGAAGATATGTTATTCATATAACTATGATACACCTTTATACCAAATTTCACTTAGATATATGAAGAAATACCGAGTTATCGTGACTTTATTATTTTACTATCGTCGGCTTGGCACGCGTGTGTTAATAAAACTGTTATCAAAAAGCGTCTTCAGACCTTACTTCTTAAAATAATTGATAAAGTAAGCGACATCATGAGATATGTTATTCTTATGACTATGTACAAACTATATACCAAATTTTAATTTGATTTGTTGAAAAATGATTGAGTTATCGTGAATTTAATTCATACGATGTACAGATTTTAAGCTATACGCCGTGCCACATTTGTGTACGTAGGGTATATGTAGGGCTTCGCATAGGCAGATACGTGTATGTGTTATACGTCTCTGACATAGGTGAACACAGTTAGAATATATTGCTATATAAACATTGATACACCTTCAATCTACCTGAAGTTTGGTATAAAGGTGTATCATAGTTATATGAATAACATATCTTCTGATGTCGCTTACTTAATCGATTAATTTTAGAGATATAGTTTGAAGCCGCTTCACAATCTGTTGAGTTCTATTCACACACGTTTGCCACACCGCCGATCGTAATAATCAAACTTATCATTACTCAGTCATTTATTCAAATATCTACCTGCAGTTTGGTATAAAGGTGTATCATAGGTATATGAATAACATATCTTCTGATGTCGCTTACTTTATCGATTAATTTTAGAGATATAGTCTGAAGACGCTTTACGATCTGTAGAGTTCTAATCACACACGTATGCTACGCCGCCGATCGTAATAATAAATTAATCACAACTCGATCATTTTTTCAAAAATCGAGCTGAAATTTGGAATGTATATCAATAAAAGTCTAACTAATAACATATCTTCTGATGTCGCTTACTTTAGCGAGTAATTGTAACGATATTATCTGGCGAAGCTTTCTTCACTTTACATGCGAATACACACATGAGCCACGCCTCGATCGTAAAAATTCAATTCATCATAACTTGGTCATTTTATCGAATATCGAGCTGAAATTTGGTACAGAGGTGTATTATAGTCATATTAACAACATATCTTCTGATGTCGCTTACTTTATTCAGTATTTTAAAAGATTTTGTCTGGCGACGCTTGTTGTCACTTGAAGACGCTTGTTGTCGGTTGAAGACGCTTTTAACGAGGACCCGTACCGACTTATATTACCCGCCTCCAACTTTTATACTTCACATGATATAAACATACAACAACCAATTGCCTTTCTGACCTGGGCAATTGTCCAAGATTAAAGCCAAAAGTGAGGTAAAAGCCAAGCAAGACATGTAACAGAGATTTCTAAGTGACTTACAAGTTTTTGCACAAAACCAAAGGTGAAAGTGGTTTGTATTCGCAATCATCACACGTTATATTTCCAGACGTTTGGTTGGAAATACTACACAAAACAAAAATGAGAAGTGTTAAAATGCCCCGAGTCATCTTCTACCAATTGTTTTTTCACAGCATCACGTTTTCTTTATCACGATTCTCTCTGTCTGCGTGTATCAAGGTACATCGCTGCCGCTGCATTCTCATTTTGTTGTTGCTGTTCGTTTCCGCTACATCAGCGTCGTTGAAACCCTTTACTATATCATCTACAAGAGTTACCTCTCTTTGTGTTGATTCCGGATTTTATATCATCCATGCATAATTATATGCATGTCCTTTATTAGTAAAACTAGCTCCGCGCACAAACAGTTTCTAGGCTGTAGAAAAGCCGAGCTTGAACAATATTTTGAAAAAAATCCAAAGTTTCAGCATTCTATTGGTTGAAGTGTCTTGAATGCTAAATCAAAGCATATGTCTACCTGGATTCTGTTCTTGATATATATCAATGACATGCCAGATGTATTAGAGTGTTCTGTACTACAAAACTATTCGCGGACGATGCCAAAATATCAGCTAATAATTCAACCCCAGAACATCGAGCTAGGTTGCAACATTTTATTTCCCCTTTGATAAAAATCTAGGAATCTGATTGGTTAAAAACTACAGTGTACCAAACCGCATTCGTAAATCTCAGGGGGTTTACGAAAATCTCGGGGGGTATACGGTCATGTCATGTGATTCTCAGCAGTAATACGGTGGAATCACGTGATTTTACAAGGGGTATACGGGTCACGTGTCTTTGTATCTTGCGACCGGGCATCGGGAGACAACTCGCATCCGTCGTCTGCTTCACTGTTTACAAAATGCCAAAACGTTTCGCTTCGCATACTGATGAGGAAATACTCGCCAAAAGGGCTAACTTTGTGCCACATAACACACAAAAGTCGAACAGACGAGCGGCAAACATGCTGAGGACTTATTTAAAAGAAAAGAATCTGGAAGAACAGTTCGAGAATTTGATAAAACGAAACTAAATGAGGTATACGGGATGGTATGACCCTACAGGATTTCGTATTTCCTTCGGCCTGTCGGCCTCAGGAAATACGAAACCCTTTAGGGTCATACCATCCCGTATACCCTGCCAAAAATCCGTGTAACTAATAGTATTGACAGAATGTGTCAATGGACAAAAAATTGGATGATGAAGCTGAATGTGGACAAATGCAAGCATATAGAAATTAAATTGGACAAAAACCTAAGTCATCCAACTACTCGCTGACGCAATACGGAAACACCATCGAAATCTGGGAGTTCACATCGACGAAAAACTCATTTTTTCCATACACGTCCAAAAAGCAGCCAGCAAAGCAAACCAAATTGCTGGAATAGTATTCAGAAGTTTTACATACATGTATATGAGCCCAACCATATTTGAAACACTCTACAAAGCTCTTATACGGTCCCACCTTGAATACGCTTCAACGATATGGTCACTGCTGTATACCAAGGACAAACTTTTGATTGAAAAGGTCCAGCGAAGAGCAATGAAAAGAGTACCAACACTAACTAACACTGAAATCATACGCTGAACGTCTAAGAATACTCGGTCTACCAACCCTGGAATACAGGAGGGAGAGAGCAGACATGGTCAAAGTGTACAGAATCCTTAATAACATCGACAAACTTGATAAGGATAAACTATTCCAACACTGCGAATACAGATCAACACGGGGGCACTCCAAGAAGCTGTTTAAAAGGCTCTACAAAAAACTGATCACAGGAAACTTCTTTAGCAACCGCATTATTAAACCGTGGAACTCGTTGCCTGATGAAGTGGTCTCATCACCGAGCCTAAACTGCTTCAAGGAAAGACTAAACAATACCATACTTAACATCAAGTGACTCAACTAAAAACAATGTACTGTTTGAGGGTTTTTTCTACAACGGAAGGGCTCAACCCTTTTATCTACATGTATATGAACAAACGAGTGAATTTGTTTTTAAAATTTTAAAACCCATTTTTACCATAGACATTGCTACACTAGTATGATTAAGGCAATAATAAGTGCGCTACCGGAAAAGTAAGTCGCGAGTGAAGAAATAACAATGATGCATCACAACAAGCTTGAACTAGCTTTCAACGATGCCACATCAGCAATTCAGCAATTCAATGTCATGGTACCTCTTCGGGAAAAGAAAGTCAATGCTCTTTGGACCAACAACAATTCGGAGTCAATTAATAACAGATTGAAACAGGTTGCCAATTTCAAACAGCATAACTTACCTCAGCTAGTTGAAAAAATGGCCTTAGTGTCTCAAATGCAGATACTTGATTTAAGACGGGCATTACATGGAACTGGCAAATTTAGGCTAGAATGCAAAACTACATCATTTGAGGTAGACCAGGAAATTTGGAATCAAAAAACACAAAAAGAAAAAGACGCATATTTTAGAACCTTTTCGGCCTAAAGAAAGAATATTACCCGCGAAAGCAATTTAGCTTAGGTTTCAGGCACAGACTTCTTGGGCCCAAAACCGAAGCAAAACTGTGGCAAAAAGCCATGTAAAAGATCAAGAACAGTAAAATAAAAGTATCTACTGTACAGGGAATGTTGTGTTACGTCTTCATTTCATTTCCCTATTTCTCTTATGCTACATATTTATAGACTATTGTATTGGTGAATCACAACATGATCCGCTATCTCTTCAGATATTGCTTTTCGCAAATGGACATGTTGTGTCATTCATTAGTTCAGAGACGTATATTAAATGTCTCTGATTAGTTCAATTCTATTAAATGTCATAAATTCTTCATTCCCCATTTTCCTTAGGTTATTTTATAGTGTTGTTTAAATTCCAAGTATTTAGGATATATGTTTTTTTCCATTATTTACGTGGAAGATATCTCTTAGGATATTAATCTTTCCAATATTCACGTATAAGTAAACCTGATCCGCTTAATTTGGTATTCTTTTCATTTTATATTATACTTGTTGATTTCGTCGTATTTTGATCATATCGTTTTCATTACGCACTTCCATATACAATTGTTTTATCTCAATATTATATCAACTGATTGTTTAAAATTATGACAATTTTATGTTTTATGTACTGCAAATGTATTTTCACATCTTTTAACAATCTTATTTATTTTCATCGTTGTATTTGTAATCTATGTATATATGTGTTAAAATATGATTATTAAAATAAATGGTTATGATCAAATAATCTGACTGTGAGTCTTAATGTGTTTAACAATGATGACATCTGTAACATCGCGATGCAAGGGAGCTAACACATATAACATACTCTCCTAATTTCGAATTGAAGGACTTGACGGCAGTGGATGTCGAAAATCAGGTTACTACATTATAATATTAACTGAATATTATTTAAGTGTCGTCTGTGTTTTTTTGTGGTCTTATATGGATGTTCATTAGTGTTTTAGGGGTGTTTTTGGGTGTTTTTGGAACTTTTTGGGTAAATCGTGCCACCCTGGTTAGTGTACCCAAAATGGAACACTTTTATTCATTTCATTTTTGTAACATTTCAATAGAGTTTATGAGCAATCTTTAAGAGGTAGGCAGATGATATTTGTTCGAAATGCATAAAACTATCAAAACTTTTATTGAAAAAAACATACCATTAGTTTTTCTTGCAAAATAAAAATTGCTGCGTCATATATATCAAAAGTGTTCCATTTTGGGTACTGTTCCATTTTGGGTACTGTTCCATTTTGGGTACCCTAACCCTAGCTGTACGATTCAGTGATGGAATAAGTTTGGTTGGATCAGATCTATTTATGCGCACATGTTACCGGCACCCTTGAGCTTCGCTTTTATTAAGATAAATAAGATAAGATAAAGTTTGTTCAACAAAGATATTTTACTGTACAAAACTGTCAGATAATGTTTGTCTTTTTAAAGTTATTGTTAATTTATTTGCATTATATGAAACTAGATTAAATATATTTTACAAGCAGATCTAGCATTGAAATTCCACAGTTTTAGTTGTAAAATCTAAAAGTAATATCACAAACTTGGATCAAATAAAATGTCAACAGAAACGATCCCCAAATGGAAGAATTAAGAAGAACTGAATATAAAATAAAGTTGACGTTCTACAATAAATGCAGAAAAAACAAGAGTAGTAATACTGAAAAATCCGCACTTTGACCCTTTGGAACGCCTTACGTTTTCCCTTGGAAAGCTGTCGCTGTTTCACTGGAGCAGACGACCCGTGAACTTTGACCTCGTCATTGACCCTGCTTCGTACATACTCGGGTATTTCCGTCCTAGTGGGAATGACCTCGTGTGTTACGATCGATTATCAATTTTATATCAAATAAAGATATATTTTTGAGAATGTGTAGCAAAGCTAAACAGCATCGTAAAAATAGGACCGAAGTAACTCTATACTAGCTACTTCCGTGACGAAGGATTTTGGAAGCATAGTATTTCGACGTTACCATGACTTCAATTGTTCGTACACATGTTACCGGAAAAGAGCTTCGCTTCTTGCGCCTTCGGCACAAGTGCGCTCTTCCTTGTTTATTTAGATAAAAACTAATATACATTCTGTGTGAAAAAAATCTATCACATAAATTTTGATACTGGCATGAAACGTCGTTCAAAATTATCATATGATGACGTCACAATCACGCCACACTCAATCGGCCTTCATCGGTTATTTCCGGAAGGATGAAAAATAACCGGGAAATCTTGGAACTGATGGCCGTTGCATTTATCTCTTTAGTCGTTGCTTTATGACTTTTTAATTTCAGTTTTTGACACAGGCACACAAAGTAAAAACGCGGATGTTTTCTGAAGATCCTGTTTGTTATCAACCAGGTTCTGTTAATATTTCTACGGGGAGATATTTTCAAAAAGAGCCGCATTAAACCAATAGGTATAAACGTGTACATTTATTTTTCATAGTCTAAAATTTCATCAGCTTTTGATTTCCATTTATTGAGGTAATGAACGAAATAATTAACATTTTTGAAAGTCCGGTATAGTCTTTACATAATTTATGTATGCAATACCACTCATAAAAGAAACAATGGATAATTCATTTATGTCGAAATCAACAATCAACGCCCTTTATCAGCAACGTATAACTTATAACTATAGTTACAGACAGAATTACATGTTAAACCTCAGTGACAGTTACAAAATTTTAAATTCAATCCGGTGTTTCAGGATGGAACAGGAATTCTAAACATCGATATAACGACAATCACAATTCTACATCA